CCCAGCTTCTGCCAACCTAACAGTTTGAAAACATGCAAATGTGAGTAGGTCAATAGGTAATACCTTGGCAGGAAGATAACGGCACTCCATGCAGTCATGCCAGCCACATGACCTAGGAGGCGTCATAGAATCATAGAGTTGGAAGAGACCTCATGGGCCATCCAGTCCAGCCCCCTGCCTAAAAGCAGGAATATTGCATTCAAAGCAACCCTGACAGATGGCCATCCAGCCTCTGTTTAAAAGCTTCCAAAAAAGGAGCCTCTACCACACTCTGGGGCGTCTATGGACAATGCTGGCTCTTTGGCTTAGAAATGGAGATGAGCACCACTCCCCAGAGTCAGACACATCTAGAAAAGGAACCTTTACCTTTACCTAACAAAAACAACAAGAACAATAATAGAGGACAGCCATGGACCCATGCAGCAGATCAAGAAGCCAAAAATCCAATAAATGACCTCTTTGGATCACTATGTGGGCCACGGTGGCACAGTGGGTTAAACTGCTGAGCTGCTGAACTTGCTGACTGAAAGGTCAGTGGCTTGAATCCACTGAGTGGGGTGAGCTCCTACTGTTAGCCCCAGCTTCTGCCAACCTAGCAGATTGAAAAAATGCAAATGTGAGTAGATTAATAGATACCGCTCCAGTGGGTAGGTAATGGCGTGCCATGCAATCATGCTGGCCACATGACCTTGGAGGCGTCTATGGACAATGCCGGCTCTTCAGCTTATAAATGGAGATGAGAACCACCTCTCAGAGTCGAACATGACTAGACTTTATGTCAAGTGAAAACACTATGAGTTAACAGACAACTTGAATGCACATATACACCCCTCCTCAACTTTTCATAGACAGCAGGCCAGTTGCTCTCTTATCTTTCATCCTTCAGATGTTTTAGGCTTCAACCCTAAGAAATCCCTGACTAGGACTTCTGGAAGTTGACATCTGAAATATTAGTGGCATCAAAGGCTAAGAACTAGTAGTTTAAAGCTGCTGGAAAAAAATGGATCCCTGTTACATACTGACATATTTGATGGAAATGTGCCTACAAAACTGTTTCTCCTCTAACTCCCTTGTAAGGCCTCAAGCAGTTAACAAGGTTTGTTATCCTTGTGGGTGAAACATCAGGAGAGAATGCTTCTAGAACATGGCCATACAGCTCGGAAAACCCACAGCAACCCAGTCTGTTATCCTTTTTGTTAATAATAAAGCAAACTTTACTTTCAAAACAAACACTCTCCATTTCCAGGGTCACTTTTAGAAGCAGCTGCCACTCAAAAGACTCCTTTCCAACCATTTGAAACTGGTTGCAGCTTTGTCAATCTGGTCCGCTTCACTCCAGAATCTCAACCCCCCTTAGAGCTGACTTCGGAAGAGGCTCTCCAAGACACAGTTTGAGAAAGGTGCAGGTCTGAGGCCCCTCCCCATGCCATCAAACCCTTTCTGGACTCCAAAAAAACACCTTCTCGCCTTCAGAAGGGATTTTTTTTAGACAAATTTCCAGGAAAGGTACAATTGCAGCTAATGGGCACCAATGCCCTACTGAAAAAAATAATACTATGTAACATAATGTATTGTTGAAGGTTTTCATGGCCGGAATCACTGGGTTGCTGTGAGTTTTCCAGGCTGTATGGCCATGTTCCAGAAGCATTCTCTCCTGACATTTTGCCTGCATCTATGGCAGGCATCCTCAGAGGTTGTGAGGTCTGTTGGAAACTAGGCAATTGGGGATTACATATCTGTGGAATGTCCCCAGTGGGAGAAAGAACTCTTGTCTGTTTGAGGCAAGTGTCAATGTTGCAATTGGCTACATTGGTTAGCATTTAATGGCCTTGTAGCTTCAAAGCCTGGCTGCTTAGTGCCTGGGGGAATCCTTTGTTGGTAGGTGTTAGTTGGCCCTGGTTGTTTCTTGTCTGGAATTCCCCTGCTTTTTGAATGTAGTTTTTTATTTGATGTCCTGATTTTAGAGTTTTTTAATACTAGTATTCCAGAGATATATGTGTGTGTGAATGTTGCAACTGGCCACCTTGATAAGCATTGAATGGCCTTGCAGCTTCAAAGACTGGCTGCTTCCTGCCTGGGGGGGGGTCCTTTGTTCAGAGGTGATTAGATGGCCGTGATTATATGCTAATCAAGGTGGTCAGTTGAAACATTCACACCTAGCTCCAGCAGACAAGAGTCCTTTGTCCCAACCGTGGTCATTCCACAGATATATAAACCCTTTTTCCTAGTTCCAACAGACCTCACTACCTCTGAGGATGCTTGCCATAGATGCAGAAACGTCAGGAGAGAATGCCTCTAGACCATGGCCATATAGCCCGAAAAAACCTACAACAACCCATGGCCGTGCTTGTTTCTTGTCTGGAATTCCTCTGTTTTCTGAGTGATCCCCTATATTTACTGTCCTGATTTTAGAGTGTTTATATATATATATATATATATATATATATATATATATACACACACACACACACACACACATACATACTGGCAGCCAGATTTTGTTCATTTTCATGGTTTCCTCCTTTCTACTGAAATAGTCCACATGCTTGTAATGCAATGTAACAATGCATCTATGTAACACAATTTTTGTTCCTGGGTTATAAATGCCATTCTCTAATTTTATTTTCTGTGTCAGGAGCGACTTGAGAAACTACAAGTTGCTTCTAGAGTGAGAGAATTGGCCATCTGCAAGGATGTTGCCTAGGGGATGCCCCATTGTTTTTGAAGTTTTTCCATCTTTGTGGGAGGCTTTTCTCATGTCCTTCTCTCATGAGCTAGAGCTGACAGAGGGAGCTCATCTGCGCTCTCCCCGGATTCGAACCTCTGACCTGTCGGTCCTCATTCCTGCCGGCACAAGGGTTTAACTCAGTGTTTTGGCCTACAACTCCCAAAAATCCCAGCCAGTTAGGATTTCTGAGAGGTGAAGGCCAAAACATCTGGGGAGGTTGAGAATCACTGGTTTAACCCATTGAGCCACATGGGGATCCTAATTGGATCTACTGTAAAGACATGGGGAAAGTTATGGAGCCACCAGTGGTGCAGTGTTAAACCCTTATGCTGGCAAGACTGATGACTTGAAGGTTGGGTTGCTGACCTGAAGGTTGCCGGTTTGAATCTAACCCAGGGAGACTGTGGATGAGCTCCCTCTATCAGCTCCAGCTCCATGTGGGGATATGAGAGAAGCCTCTCACAAGGATGGACTCTGGATTTCGGATTCTGATTTTAACAGGCGTGTTTTTAATCAATTGTTTAATTACTGTTTTTAATATTTTAATGTATTGCTGATTGTTGATTGTATTTATGATGTCAGCATCCTATGATGCTTTTGTGAGTCCCCCCCTCGGGGGTGAGAAGGTTGGGGTAAAAATATAGGAAATAATAAATAAATAATAAATAAATTTTGTTGTTGTTCAGTCGTTCAGTTGTTTCCGACTTTTTGTGACCTCATGGACCAGCCCACGCCAGAGCTCCCTGTCGGCCGTCACCACCCCCAGCACCTTTAAGGTCAATCCATAGAATCATAGAATCATAGAATCAAAGAGTTGGAAGAGACCTCATGGGCCATCCAGTCCAACCCCCTGCCAAGAAGCAGGAATATTGCATTCAAATCACCCCTGACAAATGGCCATCCAGCCTCTGCTTAAAAGCTTCCAAAGAAGGAGCCTCCACCTCACTCCGGGGCAGAGAGTTCCACTGCTGAACGGCTCTCACAGTCAGGAAGTTCTTCCTAATGTTCAGATGGAATCTCCTCTCTTGTAGTTTGAAGCCATTGTTCCGCGTCCTAGTCTCCAAGGATGCAGAAAACAAGCTTGCTCCCTCCTCCCTGTGGCTTCCTCTCACATAATCCAGTCACTTCAAGGATCCCATCCATCCATCTTGCCTTGCTCTTCCTTTTTCCTTCCATTTTCCCCAGCATAAATGGTAAAAACATTTTTAAAAACCCAAAAACTAAACATCCGGGCATTCCCTGGGCAACATTCTTGCAGATGGCCAATTCTCTCACACCAGAAGCAACTTGCAGCTTCTCAAATCGCTCTTGGACATCCAGGCGTCCCCTGGGCAACGTTCTTGCAGATGGCCAATTCTCTCACACCAGAAGCAACTTGCAGCTTCTCAAATCACTCTTGGACATCCAGGCGTCCCCTGGGCAACGTTCTTGCAGACGGCCAATTCTCTTACACCAGAAGCAACTTGCAGTTTCTCAAATCGCTCTTGGACATCCAGGCGTTCCCTGGGCAACATCCTTGCAGATGGCCAATTCTCTCACACCAGAAGCAACTTGCAGTTTCTCAAATCGCTCTTGGACATCCAGGCGTTCCCTGGGCAACATCCTTGCAGACGGCCAGTTCTCTCACACCAGAAGCAACTTGCAGTTTCTCAAGTCGCTCTTGGATATCCAGGCGTTCCCTGGGCAACATCCTTGCAGACGGCCAATTCTCTCACACCAGAAGCAACTTGCAGTTTCTCAAGTCGCTCTCGACACAAGAAAATAAAATGGGTAAAGTTTATTAAACTGCAAAAAAAAAATGTTTTTTGTGGGGCATATCCTGCTATAGATTTTCAATTCAGCCTTGTTTGTGGCAGCCACAAAAACAAAGTTTTCTGGGGTGGAACAACTACTTCCAGAGGATGTATGGCAGAGTTAGAGGAAAATAACACTTTCAAGACAGGAACAGAAAATGTTTCGAATCTAGTTACATACTGTCACTGGTCTCTCAGATGATATAGGTTAGGAAACACTCATCATCAAGCTCTGTATCAGGCGTGGGCCAACTTGGGCCTTCCAGGGGTTTTGGACTCCAACTCCCACCATTCCGAACAGCCTCAGGACTCTTCCTTTTCCCCCCCGCTTAAGGCTGGGGGGAAAAGGAAGGGGCCTGAGGCTGTTCGGAATGGTGGGAGTTGGAGTCCAAAACCCCTGGAAGGCTCAAGATGACCTAAACTTAGTGGAGATGCTCCTGAGCGCAAGAGCAGAGGGAAAGAAACCTAGGCGCACTCACGAATCCGTATCCGCGGGACTTGCCGCTCTGCCGGTCGGTGATCACGACGGCTTCCTCGATGTCTCCGAAGCCCTCGAAGTACTTCCTCAGCGAGGCGTCGGTGGTGTGGTAGGGCAGCCCCCCGACGAAGATCTTGGTGAAGGTGGTGTCCTTGGGCACCGGGTGCATGGCGAAGGGAGGAAGAGTAGGAGGGAGGAGGAGAAGAAGAAGAAGAAGAAGGAGCCGCGAGGAAGAGCATCCAAAGGGGAGGAGGAGGAAAGCGAGCCTTGCAAAGGGCAGCCAAGGGGGAACTCAGTCCACGGAGGGAGCCATAGGGTGGTCTGGCTTCTGGATCTCCTCCTCCTCCTCCTCCTCCTCCACCGCCCCTTCGAGCAAAGCCTTCCCTGCCGCTCGCAGCCGCGGCGCGGAAAAAACTCCTCTGCCGCCTGGTCGGCTTTGTACCCATTCGCCTCCTTCAGAGCCAAGCAATAGCCACGCCCCCTTTGCATAAGCCACGCCCCCACTGCCACGCCCCCTCCACCCCAGGAGGGAGGGAGGGGGAAGGCAAAGGACCCTGGGGTTTGTAGTCTGCCAAATGTCCAGGGTGCTGCTATCTCTGCACTGCTTAAGACCTACAAACACTCTAAACACTGGGTTGTTGTAGGTTTTTTCAGGCTATGTGGCCATGTTCTAGAGGCATTCTCTCCTGACGTTTTGCCCTGCATCTATGGCAAGCATCCTCAGAGGTAGTGAGGTCTGTTGGAACTAGGAAAATTGGGTTTATATATCTGTGGAATGATCAGGGTGGGACAAAGAACTCTTTGTCTATTGGAGCTAGGTTTGAATGTTTCTGAGGATGCTTACCATAGATGGAGGCGAAACGCCAGGAGAGAATGCTTCTAAAACATGGCCATATAGCCCGAAAAAACCTACAACAACCCAGTGATTCCGGCCATGAAAGCCTTCGACAATACAATCTAAACACCTTCGCAGAAGCATACGAGAAGCTCGGTCTGTCATTGAACATTGAGAAAACCAAAGTGCTCTTCCAGTAGTCACTGTCCAATCCCTCTCCAATGCCAGAACAACATTAGGGGGGGGGGGGGGGGGGGGGGCTTGAGGGGCTTCCCCCCCCCCCTCAAAATTCTCATGGTGGTTCGTGAAAAGGCCTTACTGGTGCATTATTTAAACTGTTATGTTTATTCATATCATGATCTGATCACCATGCTCAATATATCCCATATGCATGGGGGTATTGGGGTAATGATACAAAAGGTTTGCTAAGGTAGACCCTCTTTCACTCAGACTCAGCCCCCCCCCCCCCCCGAATTGAAATCCTGGCTACGGGCCTGGCCAGAGATATTATTATTATTATTTATTTATTTATTTATTTATTAACTTTATTTATACCCCGCAAAATCTCCTGAAGGACTCGATGCGGCTTACAAACGCCAAGGCCGCAACAAAGAACAACATACAAATATAACAGTAAAACTCATAAGCAAATAATAAAACATCAAGCAAAGACAATAAAACACTAAAAACAATGACACATGATGCGTTTAAAATCTAAAAGGTACAACTTAATGGTGTAACATTAGAAAATGTTGACCATTTCTGCTACCTTGGCAGCCACCTCTCCACAAAAGTCAACATCCACACCAAAATTCAACACAACGCCTGAGCTCTGTGAGTGCAGCATTTTTCTGAATGAAGCAGAGAGTGTTTGAGGACCAGGACATCCATAGGGATACCAAGGTGCTTGTTTATAAAGCTATTGTCCTCCCAATTCTGCTATATGCCTGTGAGATGTGGACAATCTACAGACGTCACATGCAACTCCTGGAACAATTCCATCAGCGCTGCCTCTGAAAAATCCTGCAAATCTCTTGGGAAGACAAGGGGACAAATGTCAGCATGCTGGAAGAAACAAAAGCCACCAGCATTGTAGCGATGGTCCTCCATCATCAACTCCGTGGACCTGCCACGTTGTCCGGATGCCTGATCACCATCTCCCACAGCAGTTGCTCTACTTCGAACTCAAGAACGGAAAACGGAATGTTGGTGGACAGGAAAAGAGATTTAAAGATGGGTTCAAAGCCAACCTTAAAAACTCTGACATAGACACTGAGAACTGGAAAGCCTTGGCCCTTAAGTGCTCCTGCTGGAGGTCAGCTGTGACCAGCAGTGCTGTATAATTTGAAAAGGCACGAATGGAATGGAAAGAGAGAAACGTACCAAGAGGAAGGCGCGTCAGGCCAACCCCAACTGGGACCACCTTCCACCTGGAAACCAATGCCCTCACTGCGGGAGAAGATGCAGATCAAGAATAGGGCTCCATAGTCACCTACGGACCCACCGCCAGTACATCGATCTTGGAAGACAATCCTACTGGGCAACGAGGGATTGCCTAAGTAAGTACTGTCTATAGCAGTGTTTCTCAACCTTCCTAATGCCACCACCCCTGAATACATGTTCCTCATGTTGTGATGACCCCCGTCCCCCTAACCATAACATTATTTTCGTTGCTACTTCATAACTCTAATTTGGCTACTGTTGTGAATTGTAATGTAAATATCTGATATGCAGGATGTATTTTCATTCGCTGGACCAAATTTGGCACAAATACCCATACCCAATTTGAATACTGGTGGGGTGGGAGGGATGTTTGTCATTTGGGAGTTGTAGTTGCTGGGATTTATAGTTCACCTAAAATCAAAGGGCATCCTGAACTCCACCAACGATGAAATTGAACCAAACTTGACACACAGAACTCCCATGAAGAAATACTGGAAGGGTTTGGTGGACATTGACCTTGAGTTTTGGAGTTGTAGTTCACCTACATCCAGAGAGCACTGTGGACTCAACCATGATGGATCTGGACCAAACTTGGCACATACTCAATATGCCCAAATGTGAACCCTGGTGGAGTTTGGGAGAAATAGACCTTGACATTTGGAGGTGTCATTGCTGGGATTTATAGTTCACCTACAAAGAGCATTCTGAACCCCACCAACTATAGAATTGGGCCAAACTTCCCACATAGAACCCCCATGATCAACAAAAAATACTGTGTTTTCTGATAGTCTTTGGCGACTCCTCTGACACCCTCTGCATGGCCCTCCCCGAGGGGTCCCGACCCCCAGTTTGAGAAACTCTGGTCTATGGAATGAATGGAGTCTGGCTATGCCATCCTGGGAGCTGGTGTTTTATCAGCTCTCTAGCCTTCCCTGCCAAAGAGGGCTGGCCGGTCGCCTCTCACCTAACTATAATTCCCAGGATCCCATAGCCTTCACCCACTGTGGGATTTGTAGTTTGGTGGGTCCTCAGGAGCTTATAAAACTAGACTTCCTGGGATTCCATAAAATTGAGCCATGGCGAAGTGTTGTCGAAGGCTTTCATGGCTGGAATCACTGGGTTGCTGAGTTTTCCGGGCTGTATGGCCATATTCCCAAAGCATTTTCTTCTGAAGTTTCGCCCACCCTAGTTTCCAACAGACCTCACAACCTCTTAGGATGCCTGCCACAGATGGGGGCGAAACGTCTGGAGAGAATGCTTCTGGAACATGGCCATACAGCCTGGAAAACTCACAGCAACTTCATCATTTATTAATATGGTGTACTCCATGTGCAAGCAAAATAGCATTGAGCAGTGGGTCCTGCCTAAGGGATACCGACAATATATTTGATGCTGGAAGGAGTTCAGGATAATTCCACTGCACCACTCGGACTTCACTTCCCAGCAGGCCATGCGGGCGCCTCCCCCGCGCGCCCCTCCCACCTTCGGAAGAGAACTCCAGCGAAGTCATTTGCATAACGGGCGGGAAAAGAGGGGGCGGGAAGGAGCGGTGGATTTGACTGGGAAATACTTGGACGTTTGCAAAGCAAATGTTTGCTCGCAGAAGCCCGCCAGGGAAAGGCGCCTCAAGGAGCTTCCCAACATTATTTTTTAAAAAAAATCCAAAACAAACACAAAACCTTTGCAGGTATTAAGATGCCAAATAATTGCCAGTCCTGATGAACGTTTAGAGGTTTTGGCTCCATCTTCTGCTCTGTTGAATCAATGCAGTTTGGCACCACTTTGATTGACATGGCTCAATGCTACTGAATCCAGGGAGTTGAATATTTAGGGCAGGCGTGGACCAACACGCACACATAACATACAATTAATTTGATTTGTTTATATAAAAAAATAATATTACTAAGTTATTATATTTATATATAACTTTTAATATATTACATTATATATAATGTAATGCAATATAGTACTACTACTACTAATATGATATTGTAAGTATGTATTTTATATTACATGTAAAATTACTAATGATATTACAATATAATGGTATAGTACAATATAGTAATATATAATACTGATATTGTACTATGCCAGTGATGGGCAACCTTTTGAGCTTGGTGTGTCAAAATTTGCCAAAAACCTGAGCATAACTTGGGTGGGGTGTCAACTTCGAGAAAAAAAAACCCATAATTTTGCAATATTTATAGTTTAAATAAGAAAAATGTATATTCCATGCTGAGTTATGGAGTGAACAATGCTCAAACATGCAGATGTTAAATGTGTAGAGCCTTTTCAAATTTAAGGATGGAATTAGATTGGCTCTTATAAGGTGTACTTCTCTGTATGCGGCCGCATGTGGCCGTGTGTTATCAAAAATAGCCATGTGTGTCAGTGCTGACACACGTGTCAAAGGTTCACCATCACGGTACTATGCTAATAATATAATGTATTGTATGTACATATATCTTGTTAGCCGCTCTGCGTCCCCTTCAGAGTGAGAAAGACGGCCTATAAATGTCATAATAATAATAATAATAATAATAATAATAATAATAATAACAACAACACTTTATTTGTACCCCGCTACCATCTCCCCAAGGGACTTGGTGCGGCTTACATGAGGCCAAGCCCAAACACAGCAATACAAGCAATAATCACAACAATACAAACAATTAAAATAAAATAAAGACGATAAACATATGACATTATCAATAAGACAACATACAATTAAAAACTATGGGAAGGCCAAATGTAAAAATTTAAAATTGGAAATAGTGCTGATGCATATTATTATAAATGTCGTAAATCTATATAAACAAAAATGTAATGTTCGTTTGTGGGATTAACATAACTCAAAAACCACTGGACGAATTGAAAACAAATTTGGCCACAAGACACCTATTAACCCAAGGACTGACCATCACTCAAAAAATATTAGATTGTGTCATTTGGGATTTGTAGTTGCAGTGATTTATAGTTCACCTACAATCAAAGAGCATTCTGAATCCCACCAATGATGGAATTGAACCAAACTTGGTATACAGGACTCCCATGATCAATAGAAAACACTAGAAGGTGGGCATTGACCTTGAGATTGGGAGTTGTAGTTCACCTACATCCAGAGAGCACTGTGGACTCAAACAATGAAGGATCTAGACCAAACTTGGCACGAATACTCCATATGCCCAAATATGAACACAGATGGAGTTCAAGGGAAATAGCCATTGACATTTGGGAGTTGTAGCTACTGGGATGTATAGTTCACCTACGATCAAAGAGCATTCTGAATCCCACAAATGACAGAATTGGGCCAAACTTCCCACACAGAACCCCCATGACCAACAGAAAATACTTAAGCCCACCCAGTCCAACTCTCTTCACCAGTGCAAGTAAACATAATCTAAGCCCTCCTGACAAAGAGCCATCCAGCCATAGATATAGATAGATATATATGATTCACTCGCAGAGATATAGTATCATAGATTTGAAAGGGACCCCTAGAGAAGGACAATTATATGTTGCATATTCCAGAGTAGGCAAACCAGACAATCTCTACATCATCACTGACAAAGAAACAGCAAGAATTACTGTTTATCCTCAACCATAAAGAAATTGCATATCTTAGAAACCAACGCTTTCTCATTAGTTTATTTCTCAGATCAACAGACTGGGCCACAGCAATGCATGGCAGGGGAGGGCTAGTAAATAAATAAACTTGGGCCCTCCAGGTGTTTTGGATTTCAAGTCCCACAATTCCTAACAGCTGGCTTGCCTTAGACTCACTGTAAGAGCTGAAACACATCCAGAGATAGGAGTGAGCTCAATGGACCATTGGCAATGTCTCTTTGCTATGTGTTTCCTAGACTGTAGCCTCTGTTGTTATCCAAAAGCTTGTACAACACTGTGGGAATAGTTCTGTTGTTGCTTTTGCTAATACCGGCCCTGGATGGTTGCCACTCTCTGGGCTGCGAAGCAACTTTGGGACGAGATGCCTTAAATGCCTTATTCGTTTGTAGACAGCCACGTTCAAGCTGTATCCAAAGCCGTCTTCCTTTGTCTCGGCTTTTCCGATGACCCCGAACGCACTGTGGCCTTTTAAATCACTGTTGCTATAAATAATGAGCCTTTGAATTAAAAGTTGGTTGGGAGGGGGGAAAAATCTTTGTGTTTAGTGAACTATGTAAGCAGAACATGTTCCCGATCTTGCCTTTCTCTGCTCAGCCGTTCTTCTGAATCAACTAACCTTTTTGGAGGTTTGCATGCATGCACAGGCCTCTCAGAGCATGTGTTATGGAGTGGTAGATCTGGGTTAAGTGTTCCGCCTCCTCCAGCCATTAAGCCTCTTTTTCTAATGTAAACTTCATGCTCCTTTTCTCTCAATTGGCCACTGAGCAGAAAGCTTATGCAACAGAAGTAAAGGCGTATCAAAGCAGTTCCATAGCAGGAGAATCACCATAGCAGCGTGAATAGATGACAGTTGATTTTGGAAGCTAGGTAGGGCTGGGCCTGGTGAGTTCTTGGATGGGAAACAATGTCAGCTAGGAAATTATTCTGGCTTCAAGTTTAAACACAGGGCTTGAATGCATGAATGGTCTCAGACAGTTAAGGTTGTTTTCTATGTTTCCAATGTGTTAAAAGTGGAAACAGGAATAATAATAATAATAATAATAATAATAATAATAATAATAATACACTGGAAGTTATGTCACAAGTACCACCTGCCAGCAGTAAAGAACTGGCGGGATCATAAACCCGCAAAGGTCATGGAAAATGAACACGCAAAAATACTGTGGGACTTTCGAATCCAGTCTCACAAAGTTTTGGAACACAATACACCAGACATCACGATTGTGGAAAAGAAAAAAGTCTGGATTATTGATGTCGCCATATCAGGTGACAGCCGCATTGAGGAAAAACAACAGGAAAAACTCAGCCGCTATCAAGACCTCAAAATTGAACTGCAAAGGCTCTGGCACAAACCAGTACAGGTGGTCCTTGTGGTCATTGGCACACTGGGTGCCATGCCAAAAGATCTCTTAGCCGGCATTTGGAAACAATAAACATTGACAAAATCATGATCTGTCAATTGCAAAAGGCCACCTGACTTGCATCTGCGCACATCATTCGAAAATACATCACACAGTCCTAGATGCTTGGGAAGTGTTTGACTTGTGATTTTGTAATACGAAATCCAGCATATAGGTCTCGTTTGCTGTGACATACTGTGCTTTTGTGTCAGTAAAATAATAATAATAATAATAATAATAATAATAATAAGGTTCTTGTGGGTTTTTTCGGGCTATAGGGCCATGTTCTAGAGGTCTGTTGGAAATAGGACAATGGGTTTATATATCTGTGGAATGGCTGGGGTGGGGCAAAGAGCTCTTCTCTGCTAGAGCTAGGTGTGAATGTTTCAACTGACCACCTTCATTAGCATTAGCTTTGCCCCACCCCAGCCATTCCACAGATATATAAACCCATTGTCCTATTTCCAACAGACCTCACTACCTCTGAGGATGCTTGCCATAGATGCAGGCGAAACGTCAGGAGAAATGCCTCTAGAACATGGCCCTATAGCCCGAAAAAACCTACAAGAACCTAGTGATTCCAGCCATGAAAGCCTTCAACAATACAATAATAATAATCATCATAATACTTTATTTATATTCCGCCCTTCTCACCCGAAGGGGACTCAGGGCGGATCACAGTACGCATACACGGCAAACATTCAATGCCGTTTATATAGACAGAACACAGACAGATAGAACAGAAGGAGGTGTGTTGTTTTGATACCATGGACGGTTGGGCTCGAGTCCACAGGGGTGCTGCCGTTCCATCCTCTATGACGAAGAGCTGTCAGAACTTCCTCATTCCAGCATTTTCTGATCTTATTTTCTTATGGCGTTGTAAAACACCTCCCCCGCTTTTAGTGGTACCTAATTTCTCTAATTACAGCTAAAGCTGTTTTTGAACTGCTTAGGTAAACAGTGAGCAGGGCTGACGGTTGGCTGCTCACATCGACCCAGGGCTTCGAACTTGCAACCTTTCAGTTGAAGGATCTTACAGTTGCTGATGATTTACCAGTTGTGCTAAACCGCTGGCCCCAAGTATAACTACATCAACCATGAAAATGAATAAAATCTGGCTACCAGTATGTAAAAACTCTGAAATCAAGACAGTAAATAAAGAGCAATGCTCAGAAAGCAGGAGAATTTAAGACAATCAATCAGGGCCAGCTAACACCTCCCAACAAAGAATGCCTCCAGGCAGGAAGTAGCCAGACTTTGAAGCTGCAGGACCATTCAATGCTAAGCAAGGTGGCCAATTGCAACATTCACACGTGTTTCAAGCAGACAAGAGTTCTTTCTCTCACCCTGGACATTCCACAGGTATATAAACCTCACTTGCCTGGTTTCCAACAGACCTCACAACCTCTGAGGATGCCTGCCATAAAGATCTAAGATCTGCCAAGGTGGTCCCGCTCTCGGTCCCACCGCCTTCGCAGGTGCAATTGGTGGGGACGAGAGACAGGGCCTTCTTGGTGGTGGCCCCTTGGTTGTGGAACTCCCTCCCCAATGAGATTAGATCAGTCCCCTCCCTCTTAGCATTTAAGAAACAACTTAAGATTTGGTTGTTCAAGCAGGGATTTCATGAATGACAGAAATATGGAAATATGGAAGTAGCTAAAGATATTGTTGTTATAGTTTTAATGGTTTTAATCTATTGTTATATGTTGTCAATATGATATATGTGATGATTTATACTTGTGAGGCATTGAATTTTGCCATTGATTATGTTGTGAACCGCTTTGAATTCCCTCAGGGGTGAGAAAAGTAGTATATCAATGCAATAATAAATAAATAAATAAGTTATTGTGTATCTGTGACTTACAGGGGAAAATGGTACCTTTTTCTGTTCTGGTTTAAGGCAACCAGATGTGTTCACTTGGGAGAGTGCAGATGTATAGTTCGGGTTAGCTCTTTATGAATGTATGGGATGCCAAACAGTTGTCCTTTTATCCTGTCACCCCCAGGTTTGTAGCCCCTTAAATATCTCCAGACAAAAATGCGTGTGCCTTGCTTTTATTTCAACTGACCCAAGGATGCCCTAAAATTGCTAGTGAAGAGAGCAGGAGGTGCTGTTTTTTCCCATGCCTGTTGCCTGTTTCACCATATTAAGCTTAGTTGGGCTCTCTGACCCTCATAACTGGGCATGATTAGCTAGCAATGATAGGTGATGCAACATCAAGCCCGGCCCTCCCTCTATCTGCCAAGAGAGATGGATTATGAGAGAATGGTTCTTGATGGTCCACGTTGGTGCTGCCGTGGCCTGCTGCCAGCTTCTCATACTCTGAATTGGGCTGCAGGGATCTTCTCTGGTGTTTCCTCTCCCAGATGCTCTTGCGTTGCTTGTGGGGGTCACTGGTTCCCTGGATGGCATGGTTTTGGCTGGAACTGCCCCTGCTCTGGCTGAGAGAGAGCTGGTGGGCTAACGTTTCCTTCCCAGAGGTGGTCCGAGGTGTTGAGAAGGGATGGTTGGGCTGCTCAGTGTTGTGCTCTGGGCTAGGAGTAGGTGGGCTGATCAGGTAAACGTACACCTCGGCTTGCTGGGCCACTGGCAAATGCTGGTGCCACTCTAACCCAAGACGGTGCTGTGGGCCTCTTGGAGAATGCGGGTAGGCATATTCCTCACTGTTGAGATGGGTTCTGGACATTGTATCTGAAGCCAGAGCGGAGTATACCACCCGTCTTGGGCCGGGTAAGATTGGACTTGGGATGAAATTGGTAACACTGGGTAGGTGGTTAAAGCGCTCATGAGGGTGATCTGAATGGCAGGGAGCAGGTTCTTCTGTATTCAGGCCAACACCATGTGGTGGGAACCTCTGCCCTTGAAGGCCTTCTCTCGCAATCTCAGAGCTGAGCTGTTTATCACCAGTGGCCCTTTGGTGGTTACGGGCATGGATGCCATAGTGAGCTGAGCTGCTTTCTGCCACACGCTCTGGAGAACTGAAGCTGAAGCGTACCCAGGAGGCAACAGATCCAGCAGGACAAGCTGGTTGGGGCGTTTCAGTGTCAGACAGGTGGGAGCTGCATGGGCTATTCTGGTGTTGTGACTGGTTTCTGTACCAGCTGGTTTTCTTGTCGTCTGTATCATGGTGGCTTGACCACTCACCAGAATAGAAGGCTTTACTTTTCCGGCCAACCTGAGCACAGCAGATCTTGGACTCAGGCGGGTTGCTCATTCGCACAGTTACTTTCACAGGATCCACAACACATCGGAATCGCAGGTTGGACTGTTTTTTGCGGTTTCTCAGCAGCACTGACTCTTTCCATAACTTTTTGCTGCTGGAGAGGATCTTCATGGTCTTCAGGAGCTTGCCACCTGTAGAGCAAGGACAGGAAGCATAAAGACAGCAACAATCACAATGGGGAAACACAATAATTGCTAAAGTGTTCCCATTAGTTTGTGGAAACTGAGATCAAGCAAAAGTCCAATTCGTTTTTCTACATTTAATCCTACACAGATGAAAAGAGGTTCACATGGTGTGGGAACAACTGAGATGGATGAAATTGGAAGAACATTATTTCTAGGATCCTCTTTGAAAACCCACAACAGTTAAAGTATGAGTTTGTAATATGTACAGGGCTATCCCCAAGGTTTGAAGGTATCTTTGGCCATGGGCTTTCTGAGAGGAAAAAGCATTCTTTGAAACTACATTTTGCAAAACATTTTGCCCACGGTGAAAAAAGCAAAACATCGGAAGATCTGATTAAAATTCTAGAATTACTCCTAGAGATTCTTGGAAAACTAATTATTACAATCTCTGGTTTCTGATAGACCCTTTTCTATGCTAGTTGTATCCAGGCATGGGCAAACCTGATAGCTGGGGTAGAGTTTTACAAGTGAGACTTTGAAAATTCCTATGATGCCCTCATGAAAACAGCTGCAGGAAAATTCAAATGGCAGCCCACCACATGAGGCAGCACTGGGGACTCAGGACAGATGATAGTGGACTACTGGACTCTGGCAGCTGCCAGCCATTGCTGGTTGCTAATTCAAGACCTTAGGGTAGAGTTGTCTGAGTGACCCCCAAGGTGACCCCAAGGTGAGAATACAATCATAGCGTTTTCTTGGTAAGATTAATTCAAATGCCTTCCTCTGAGCCTAAGATAATGTGACTTGCCCCGAGTTACCCAGTGGGTTTCTACGGTTGAGTAGGGATCTGAACAGTGGCCTCCAGTGCTCAGGTCGCTGCACCACACTGGCTGTCAGATCGTTAAGAGGCCCAGACTGTTTAAGCACCCCAAAGAAAAAGCCTGAATGCCTGCCAATTTATCTCACACACCCCACATGCCGTCAACCACTTTAGCTTTGGCTTCTCCTTTTTCAGCCACAATACTGGGGTAATTTGGTATTATTTGAGGATATTGTGGACAAAATGTTTCCTTGCTAATTTAATCTACATTTTTGGGTGAGAAGCACCAGATACTTTCTAGTGACCACTTGAGCATGTAATTTATGTGGTCTGAGGGGAAGGTAGTAGCTGGAAAAAGGAGACTAAGGAAAGCAGCAGGGATCATCATCCTAAGAATTCGGAGCGAGAAATAAAGCAAAAGGCTTGTTTCATCACACATTTCTTATTCATCTACAATTTACCTTTTTGGAAGCAAGAATCACATATTCTCTTCAGGAATGGAGTGGATGTAAGCCAGATCTGAAGAGAAGAAAAACAAAGGCATTGTATTGACTGGTAGCCATTTCATGGAAATAATGATGCCCTCTCAAAGCACTGAGCAGAAGCTGGGGAACAAAGTTAGTTATAGAAAACATGGTTCCAGCCCCTCTGTCCTTTGCTCTGTTTCCCTTCTGATGGAGATAGGTCTTTGGGGATGTGGGGCAAGGGGGTTCTTGAGAGCTGTAGCCTTCCAAAAGTACTTTTCCTACATTTTGCAAAACATCTCCCATTGCCCATGATGGGGAAAAAACCAACATTGGGAGATCTGATCAGGAACCACCACCACCCTTTTGTTTTGCACCAAACTACTCAGTGATTCATATTGGACACATGGAAAACCACAACACAGTTGTCCATCCATGGATTCTGTTGCATCCAAAGATTCAACTATTCATGGCTTGAAAAAAATATTTTTTTAATTCAAAGGCCCCACCTTAATTTTGGCATTTTATATAAGAGACATCATTTTCATTATGGCATTGTATATAATGGGACTTGAGCACCCACAGATTTTTGTAGCCACAGGGGTCCTGGAACCAAATCCCAGCAGATACCAAGAGCCCACTGTGTCTAGGTGAAAAATCAGCAGTTTAGTGCCATCCAGATGTTTTCCTATCAGCCTTATTCACCACATTTACAAGCTAGGAATGTCAGCACTTGTAGTCCAGAGGGCGTCTCGTTGCCAACCTGCTCCATGTTCAATGTCAGCTGCATGGTTTGAAGCAGGGAAAGGACTTGAGAAATTTACTTTTTCAAATATAATTTCCAAAATCCTCCAGCCAGCATGGCAGAGATTCCAGAAGTTTTGTGTATGTGTGTGTGTGTGGGGGGGGGGGGGGGGAGGATAATTGTTGAGACCATAACATTTTGGAAAACCAGAAACTCCATAGCCTTTTGAAGCATGACCTTTTGGAGATTAATTGGCATTTACACCATTTGGAAAATCATAATCTTTTTATAATTATGATCTTCCCAAGAAGAGCTAAAACTCATTTGAGTGAATCTTCTCTTTAGTGGTAAATATCCACCAGTATTCTTGCAAGGCAAATTAGGTTTCTCAGCTGTTAGACTGATAAACTTAATTATCTCTTTGAACTGTTAGGAACAAAGATTATGCCAATGCACAAAATAGCAGATCTTTAGATGTGTTCTTCAGTTGCTCAGAAACATCTACTCTCCCATAAAATGTAGTATTTGGTTTTAAATCATGCTCTCAAGAGACAAGAATAGGTAATCTTCGTTAAAAAGTAGCACAGTTGGTTTACTTACAAACTTCATGTAACTATTCAGCATACTGGTACATTGCTTATTAGTTGAAGAGTTTAAACAGTAAGTTCTGTAAGGTATTCTGTTGCAGTCTCTTGTCTAATGCATAACAAACACAACTATACAATCCACTGATTGAACACAATACAACACTAACTTCTTAAACTGAGTCTCAGTCTGAATAGTCCTAGATCTAATCACACGGACTGCAGTCCTTCCCACAACCTCAATATAGAGTAAAGGGAAAACTGCATACCAACACACACATATACAATATAGTAAGCAAACTGAGTTATATACATAAAAATTGAAGATGTGTAGAAGGTTTCTATTTCCAGCAGTTTTGACACAAAAGCTATCACCCCCCCCCCAACCCCCCCCCCCAACCTTGGGTAGGGGAAATTGGACAACATAACTTCACGCAACAGGAGGACTCTTCTTTATTACTGTTTCTGGACATTTGCTGGCCTTGTAAGTTGGACCCAATCCACACTAACTTTCGGAGGACCAGTACAAGGTGAATAAGTCTCTGAGCAATGACTACAGATTAGGATGGTCAAAATTTACAACAGGGGCCTCAGTCTCCAGTTTTTTGAGCCAGCTCTCAGTGGGAGGCAAATATGGATTCTCCTGTTCTGCTGGACTCACTTCAGGCAAGAGGAAAACTCTGTATGTAAATCTCTAGTTCAGCTAGTGGAGCAACAGATGACTACAACTGGCAAAGCTACACAGGTTTTATTTTCCTGCATCTTATAAAGAATCTCCAGGCAGAGTCTAATGAACCACCAAATCTAATGCGCACCTGAATTTTCAAAACCATGAAATCAAAAATTTAAAAACTATTTGCTGGCTATTGTAATACACAGCGGCAAAAAGTGCACTCTTCATAATTCAGCCAAAAAGACCAGGGGAGCATTTGCACAGTTAAAACTTGTGCGCCAGTTGTGCCCGGGAAGTCTGACTTGGCCACGGTAGTCCACACTCTGGTTACATCCCGTATAGACTACTGCAACGCTCTCCACGTGGGGTTGCCTCTGAAGACTGCTCGGAAGCTACAAATGGTCCAATGATCGGCAGCCAGGTTGTTAACAGGAGCGGCACTCAGGGAGCATACAACTCCTATGTTGCGCCAACTCCACTGGCTGCCAATTTGCTACCGGGCACAATTCAAAGTGCTGGCTTTAGCCTTCAAAGCCCTAAACGGTTCTGGCCCGACCTATCTGTCCGAACGTATCACCCCCTATGAACCAGTTAGGACATTAAGATCGTCCGGGGAGGCCCTGCTCTCGATCCCGCCAGCCTCACAAGCACAGCTGGCGGGGACGAGAGACAGGGCCTTCTCAGTGGTGGCCCCTCGGCTGTGAAATGCCCTTCCTGCAGACATTAGATCGGCCCCCTCCCTACTAGCATTCAGGAGGAGAGTGAAGACCTGGCTCTTTGAACAGGCGTTTAATTAAGCAGTGCAATTAATTGATTGATTATTGGAACATGGAATAATGGACAATGAGATCGGATTATGACTTTACTGATGAGACGCGATGGATTAGTTATATTGATGTATTGATGTTATATTGATGTATTGTTGTATTGTTATATGATGTAGCTGCCATGGTTACCATTTTTAAATGTTAAGGTTGTGCACTTTGTATACTGATTGGTTGTAAACCGCTCTGAGTCGCCTAAGGGCTGAGAAGAGCAGTATACAAATGAAGTAAATAAATAAATAAATAAATAAATAAATAAATAAAAAGGTGTGCATTGTGGTTGCTGCATGCTTCAAATTCCTTCTTTAAAAACAAGTGTTAGAGCACCAAAGCAAAAACCTTGGGATCCATCTAAGTTGTAGAATAAATCCAATGTAATTGCCTCAGTTGAATGCTATGGAATCATGAGGGTTGTAGTTTTACAAGGTCTTGGCCCTTCTCTACCAAAGAATGCTGATGTCTCACTAAACTACAAATCTCAGGATTCAATAGCATTGAGCCATAACAATTAAATTAGAGTTGATGTTCCTCAAAAGGTACTCCAGGTGTTCCTGAGGCAGCTTCTCCTTTTGCTTTGGCTCAGCATTAAGATTACCATATTACATGACTCTAATGGGCACCCTAATTTTAGCCAAGTAATTTAGCCAAAAAAGGTAGGCAACCTGGCTGGGGCTTCTGGGAGTTAAAATCCAAAAGAACTGGAGGACCAACATTTGGGAGCCACTGTTCTAGAACAGGCATGGGTAAACTTCGTCCCTCCAGATGTTTTGGAGTTCAACTCCTATGCCTGTTCTTGACTGTGTATAGGACATTATATGAAATGGACCCAGATAAAACAAATGAACAAGGGAATTCCAAAACATGTGGATCACTCCACAGCACATTCCCCTCATTACAAGTACATACACAATGCCTACCTGCTTCAGGTTGCTTACCAAAGAAATCAGCTTCACAGTATATTCCAGTAAGGCAAAAATACCCAAAACAATCAAGATGGTGCCCAGCAGTTTCTGGTGGGGCTCAGCAAAGGGGAGGCAGTTGTTGTAGACCTTGTCCCCTGGCACAGCCATAGTTGGAAGGAAAGGGGGAAGGAAAGGAAGTTGGGATTCAATGCAGCATCTTTCCCCTCATCTGCCCCTCTGATGTCAGCCACAGCAAGCAACAGCTGCAGCCATGGAGGCAAGTGCTCAGAGAGGTTGCTAAACGTGTTGGCATCAGCCTTTGTGACAGTAGACTTGTGTTGTTTTTGTGAGTCAGAATAGGATTGTTTGTCTGGACCAATCAGCAGCTAGCTACCTTTCAGAGCAGGGAAGGAAATTCTGCAGCCTCCAGATGTTGTTGGACTGTAACCACTTGGGGCTGGCTAGGGCTACTGGGACTAGCAATAATAGCTGGAGGGCCACTTGTCTGTCATTTTACAGCAATGGTTCCCAAACTTAGGTTTTCCAGATGTTTTGCTGGATTCCTGACAGTTGGCCCAGCTAGCCAGATAGCAGATGCCCAAAACACAGTTTGGAATCCAATGCTTTAGAGAGACATGGAATCATGGAGTTGGAAGAGACCTCAAGAGTCATCCAGTCCAAAACCCTATCATGCAGGAAAACACAGTTAAAGCACCCCCAACAATGGCCATCGATCTCTGCTTAAAAACTCCAGAGAAGAAGACTCCACCACACTTTGAGGCAACATATTCCACTGCTTAACAGCTCTTACCATCAATAGGTTCTTCCTAATGTTTAGATGGAATCTTTTTAGCCCACAGCAATTGCTTCTTATGTGATCTCACACAAATAGAAACAACTAAATTCTGTGGTTGGGACTTCCTACAAGAAAGCTTTTATATCTGAGAATAAGTTAAAATCTAACTATCAGCTATGAAAGCTTTCATGTGGATCCTTAATGAAACCTACTTCACCGTATTCTTATGAGGGTAAAACGTCGAAATATCACGAAGACACCAGATTCCATTTGATCTGGTGCCTGTCAAATGGCATATTCTCCAACGTATCATTGTTAATTCCTAGTTATCTTATTTTTTTCAGTTACTTTTAAAATGTTCCAGTTTGGAAAAGGAGAGGGTTAGGATTAGGGGTAATTTTCATATTGACAGCACTGGATATGAATTTACACTCTGATGAGGAAAGCAGGTCACTAGAAGCTCTTCTGGGTAGATTTACCTGTGGCAGAGAGAATGACTGCTCAAATATTAAAGGCTCAGTTTGAGATCGTATAAACCAGTGCTACACAAAGTTGTGATGCTGGACCCATATGATGATGAAGAGGAGGATTGTGTTTATGTTCTAAACATTCCTAATGCCACCACGCCTTAATACAGTTCCTCATGTTGTGGTGGTCCCTAATCATAAAATTATTTTCGTTGCTACTCCATAACTATAATTTTGCTACTGTTATGGATCATAATGTAAATATCTGATATGAAGGATGTATTTACATTCACTGGACAAAATTTGGCACAAATATTCAATACACCCAAATTTGAATACTGGTGGGGTGGCGGGGGAGGGGGGTATTGATTCTGTCATTTGGGAGTTGTAGTTGCTGGGATTTATAGTTCACCTACAATCAAAGAGCATTCTGAACTCCACCAATGACGGAATTCAACCAGACTTGTAACACAGAACTCCCATGACCAACAGAAAATACTGAAAGGGTTTAGTGGGCATTGACCTTGAGTTTTGGAGTTGTAGTTCACCTACATCCAGAGAGCACTGTGGCTCAAACAATGATGGGTCTGGACCAAACTTGGCACAAATACTCTGTATGCCCAAATGTGAACCCTGGTGGAGTTTGGGGGAAAATAGACCTTAACATTTGGGAGCTGTAGTTGCTGGGATGTATAGTTCATCTACAATCAGAGCATTCTGAACCTCACTAATGATAGAATTAGGTCAGACTTCCCAAACAGATCCCCCATGCCCAACAGAAAATACTGTGTTTTCTTATGGTCTTTGGTGACCCCTCTGACACCCCTCCCACGCGACCCCCCAGGGGTCTCAAACTCCAGGTTGAGAAATGCTGGTATAGAAGCCATTGACTGCTGAACCCTGGTGAACTTCCAGCAAAGTAAGAATGGTACCCATTGGGTACAAAATTGGTGGAAGTTTCCATATAGCCTTTACTCCCTTTGGCGACTTGCCTCTTCCAAACTAATTTGGAAAAAAAAGGTATCCAGGATGCAGCTTTGTGATTAAATGCTGGTTTTGGAAGGAGGAGTCTAGGATGAGCCCAGGGAGCTGCTCTTTGCCAATTTCTGCCATAAAGAATAAAAACTAAAAGAGAAGTCTGTTTAATCTGATTCCCAACTGCCTCATTTGTTTCTTTCTCCCCCCCCCCCCCGCACCTTTTGTGGGACATGTTCTGCAAATAGAGTCATGACACAGGCTTACCAATTGCAGGCGGTTTATGTGCACAGGCCAGCTGTTCATTTCAAAGTTCCAACAAAAGCAGACTGAATAAGCAAAACACTCCCTGTCCAGAGCTGCAATGTTACCTTGGCCCAGGATCTGGGTCTTGCCTCCAGTGGATTTTGATCCGGGGAGGCTGCTGATATGAAACATTTCCTTAAATACACAAAAACAGGGGCTTGGTTTCACGTGACATGATCTGGGTGACTTGAAAGACACAAAAGGCCTATATTATCATCCATGCAAGCCCCTGAATAATTAAAGTGTCTCTTCAAGCTGAACACATTCACTGAGTAATTAATCAGTCAGTAGGAGAAAAATTGCCCCCTTTAGGAAGCCTGCAGTGCTGGCTGTTGCATCCTTTGTCCGTCTTATAAGCAAATGAGACTGCAAAAATGATGATGCAGATCACAAATTTTGGAATATGGACAGGCCAGGAAACAGCAAGCATTTTTTATCAAGCTGGGAGTATCTGTCTTTCTACGATAGACATTAAAGATGGTTTGCTTCTTAATTTTAAGGCTTAAAGATGCTTAAGGTGTCAGAGCCCCTAGTGGCACAGTGGGCTAAATTACTAAGCTGCTAAACTTGCTGACCAAAAGGTTGCCGGTTTGAATATGGGGAGCTGGGTGAGCTCCCGCTGTTAGCCCCAGCTTCTGCCAACCTAGCAGTTCGAAAATGTAATAGATCAGTAGGTACCATTCCGGCAGGAAAGTAATGGCACTCCATGCAGTCATGTCAGCCACATGGCCTTGGAGGTGTCTATGGACAATACCGGCTCTTCGGCTTAGAAATGAAGATGAGCACCAACCCTCAGAGTTAGACATGACTGGACTTAATGTCAGGGGAAAATCTTTACCTTTCCCTTAAGGTGTCAGAAATGGAACAGGTAACACACACCACTGTTTGCAAACATACCTCCTCAACATATATGTGTCCAATTCTGAGCATCATAATTTAAACAAGATATTGACAAGCTGGAATGTAACCAGAGAAGGGCAAGCAAAATGGTAAAAGAGCTGGAGGCCAAGCCATATGTGGAATGGCTAAGGGAGCTGAGAAAAGGTTGAGAAGGGGCACAAGAGCCATGTCTACATATTTGAAAGGATGTTATGCTGAGGAAAGGTAAGCATTCTGCTGCTCTGGAGACTAGGACATAAAGCAATTGGCTGAAATTGCAGGAAAAAGGCTCCACCTAAACATTAGGAAGAACTTCCTGATGTTAAGAGAAGCTGTGAAATATGCTGCCTTAGAGTGTGGCGGGGGTTCCTTCTCTGGAGGTTTTTAAGCAGAGGCTGGATGGCTATCTGTCGGGGTGCTTTGGTTGTGTTTTCCTGTATGACAGTGGGCTGGGCTGGATGACCCTTGGGAATTCTTCTAGTTCTATCATTCTAACAGCAGCCATGGTTGGCAAGTTCAACTTAAAAAAATAAGCTATATATGCAATGCAATGTGTGGTCCTCTAGATGCGGTTAGAATACAACTTCTAGTATCGCTCACGAGTTGCTATTCTCATGGGAGTGGCTGGAATCCTGTTGGTTACTCTTAGACCAACATTTCAGCAGAAAACTAGGATACATGTGGCCAAGATGGCCAGTCATTAACCAAGAACACAGAAGCAAGGAAGATGCAGCAGTTTGCCTTTGCCTGAAACTACATTGAAAGGTAAGACTTTACCCCCTTCTCTTGCCTCTGCTAAATGTGAATTACAATTGAAGTGTGCAGATGACAAGAGGGGGAAAGTGGAAAGAGAAGAAACCGGGACATGGAAAGAATCATGGCACTGAAGGGAGCCTTATGGCTATTGGAGTCAATCTCCTGTTCCATGCAGATATCCAGGTAAAGCATCCTCAGCTTTAGTGGGAATGTCCTGGTCTTGTAATCAAAGCAACTACCCCACACTGGCTCTGATACCACCACAGACTCACTAAAGTCCACACCTTTTTGGAACTATTGTGAGACCTATCTGTTTGATTGCCTTTAGGGCTCACGGTCAAATCAGAAATTGATATAATTTCTTTGTTCTTCTTTCTTGCTTCTCCTTCTCCATCTACAACTTTTAGACTTTCATTTTATAGAATATGAGAATCCTATAGATCAATAGTTAACTTGCAGACTAAAACAGTATTTGCCTTCTTTGCTGCAACATCACATTGCAGGCAGATTCAGTTTGCTCTCCAAAGCTTTGCTGATATCATTGCTGATTCAAGTGCTGCTCTTCATGTAACAATTCCCAAAGAATCGGCATACAAGAACACAAAGATTTGGGAAATAATGGGGGAAAATAATTAAGAGAAATAAGTCATAAGAGAAATCCATCCAAAATAGCTCTATGAAGACTGAGCATACTTTGTAGATCCACAGAATGTTGGCAGACTTCTTTGGATCTGTGGAAATGTGAGATAGAAAATGTGGAGTGGAAACAGAATAGCTCATCTTGTAATACATGGTTCCCAACCTCTTTTTGACAAGGGACCAATTTGACCAGGGACAACTCTCCAACATTAGTACCAAAAGGGTTACAAATCAGGTTTTTGGTCAACTTTAGATTCGGTTTGGTTATTAGAGGTGCTGATTCAGAAAATTGCATTGGATAAACTACATCAGCTCTAGTTTCTGATACAGAATGTATGCCACCCAGTAGCCACCATCAGCTCATCTACAGAAAACCATATTTAATAAGCCTCAGCACTATAAGAGGGTGTCACAAGACCAGTCGCTTTTGCTGCAACAGTGTAGTAACCGTGAGGACGCAGACCATACTATAGTTCTTGTGGACCACTATGGGCTCAAAGCCAACCTTAAAAACTCTGGCATAGACACTGAGAACTGGGAAGCCCTGGCCTTTGAGCGTTCCAGCTGGAGGTCAGCCGTGACCAGCAGTGTTGCAGAATTTGAAGAGGCACGAATGGAGGGTGAAAGAGAGAAATGTGCCAAGAGGAAGGCGCATCAAGCCAACCCCGACCGAGACTGCCTTCCACCTGGAAACCAATGCCCTCACTGCAAAAGAAGATGCAGATCAAGAATAGGGGTCCACAGCTAGCTACAGACTCACAAGAATACTGATCCTGGAAGACTATCCTACTCGGCCAATGAGGGATCGCCTAAGGAAGGAAGGTCCACGGACCACAGGTTGGGAACCACTGTTGTAAGAGGTCATGGCAAAAAAGTTGCAATTGTGAACAGGAAAGCCCATAGTGTGAATAACTCTCACTTGCCAATTGCTGTTGCTGTTTGAAGGAATCAACCTGTCATGTCTGGAAGGAGGGAGATAATGTCTTTAGTTGTTAAAGGCATATGAGCCAGTCCTGAAGCCTAGGAGAAAGCACTGGACCTCTGTGGACCTATAATATCAAGAAAATAAAATGTAAATCAACCTTTGAAGATGGCTCCTTTATTTCCAAATGCCAAAAGCATTCTGAAAAATTTCTCCTGTTTTTTTCTTTGTTTTTTAATCTAAAATTTCATTGTTTGCTTTTCTTAGCACAAGGCAGAATATAGCAAACCATGTAAAAGTATGATGAAAGCAAAGGATACAAATGCTGCCATCTCCTGGAGCAAAGAAAGGTTTACAACAGGGCGAGAAAAGCTTTTTCATAGGGAAACAATAGCAAAAACAATACAACCCGAAAAACCTACAACAACCCAATAGCAAACTGTTTAAAAATGAAAGATGTAATAGATTAGACAATAGTGATTTGTTGACACCCAGTGAATTGCTACATGCATAAACAGGCTGGAAAGCTCTCTCTCTCTCTCTCTCAGGAGTGCTTTGATCCTCCAACATTGAATACATGTGGCCAATCAATATCAGAGTATGCTCAAGATGAAAAAATAATGCTTTTTCTGTTAAATTATATGCTCAAGAGTATTGGTGGGGGGGGGGGGGMGCAAAAGTGTGAGAAGGGAGYGCTCAAAATATAAACTCCAGTTCCTTAGACAAGRTGGCCAYCTTCCTACCGTTTTCTATGCTACAAAAGTTTTTGCAGATCTAGACCAGTCAACTGAATGTCATGCTGGAAGCATAGCCAGAGGGCAACCAGGATACATCTAGCAATCTGATCTTGTGATTGTGTGAGCTCACTTGGATTATTTTCTGACTTAACAGAGGCTCTTTTGAAGGCAGCTATGAATGGCAACTCGTCCAGTTGGCCTAAAGTGGACAAGGCTTCATTTGCTAGAATGGTGCTGGGATCAGGCTGAGTAAGACATCAGCTGAGTTTCACAACCAAAGGGAGAACTTACTGACAACTGGCCTGTGATGTGGTGTTACTGCCTGGGCACTTTCTCCTAAATATGGGAACAGGGACAGGAGCAAAGGAAAGGTGGAGCCGTGCCTAGATGCATCCTCTTCCTTGCTTTCCTTTCAGTCATTTGGACACTGAAAGAGGTGGCTTGTGCATGGGCAGGGATGATTCCACACAGGGATGATGCTGGCTAAAGGCTTTTTGCCCAAGGACTTCCCTATAGTTTGGTATTGGTACCACATCCCGACAAACCATGAGCAATTCAAAAACATCTTTCGTGATTGTATCTTAAGACTGCATTGGACTAACTTATTTATTTTATTTATTATTCAAACTTATAAAATTTAAAACAACATATCAAAAATCGAAGGCTTGTCGAAACAAATGTCTTACAAGCCCTGCGGAAAGCTGATAAATCCTGCAAGGCACGGACTTCTGGTGGCAGAGTGTTCCAGAGCGATGGTGCCACTGCTATAAAGGCTCTGCGTCTAGTTGCTGTTAGACACAAGGTTTTAAAACTAGGAACTTCCAATAAATCTTGGATCCCAAATCTGGAAAATCCATCCATTCTTTCACAACACTACATTTTGAATGTATGCTTTCCCAAACACGGTTTGGTGGAGTCATAACCTGGCATGTTTTATTTTCTTCTTCTTTAATGCAAAAGCAGACTATTAAGTCAATTAAATGGAGCCCCCCAGTAGCGCAGTGGGTCAAATCCTTGTGCCAGCAGGACTGAAGACCGACAGGTCACAAGTTTGAATTCGGGGATGAACTCCCTCTGTCTGCTCCAGCTCCCCATGTGGGGACATGAGAGAAGCCTCCCACAAGGATGGTAAAATATCAAAAACATCCAGGCGTCCCCTGGGCA